TCACGAGGGCCAACACTTCCCTAGCTGCATTGTTGTGTCTTAACACTTACTATAGGTCTGTTGGCCAGAAGAAGAGGACAGGGAATCGCCTAAGAGGGCATCTGTTGTTTTGTGTGGGAGAAACCTCTGTATTATCTTTCCACATGGGAAGAGTGCTGGTTCTTAATGGGGAGGAGTAGAACCATTCTTTACATTCAGAAAATGGTGGAGAGTCAAAATCTTCAGGGTTACCTACCTAGATGTCCCTACACCTTGTGACAGCATCCTAGTATTACCTATCTAGGACCGTGACTTCAGTATAAGAGGCCTGCCTTTATTGAACTTTCAACCATCTTTGAAACTTAGCAGTTCTGACTATTGAGCACTGATGCTGATAGTCATCTTTTTCTGCTTGCCCACTGGATGAGAAGGGGGCTGCTCTTAGCCACCAAAGACCTTCTCTTGCTCTCACACTTAGCTTTCAATTATTTGTTAATTTCCCTGAGCATTTCATTATCCACCTTTGGGGCAGCAATGATCTTAGTAAAAATTATTTAATTCATTTTCTTTATATTTATTAACCCCCTTGTACAGTTCAAATGCCTGAATCTTCACACTATTCAAGCATAGCCCTCCACCAGACACGCTTCCAGGTGACCACAGGTGAAAGTTTTAACAATTGAAACTCCCTTGTGCCAGAGGCTGTCCATGCTCCACCTGCCACTCAAGATGGGATCTACATCGCCAGAGGAGGAGTGAGTGACAGTCTTTATAACCCATCTTACTGCCTGCCTTCTCAGACCATTCCTGGTACCAACTGTGCCCACTGGGTTATCTGGAGATCAGATGCTGAGACAAAAATTTCATGGGAGGGCTATACCTATGAAAGGAAAAGGGAGTAATGAAGAGGCAATCTGACTACCATGCAGAATTTAGAATGTCCCTGCCAGTCTGGAGCAAAGATTTATGTTAGAGAAAGCTGATTGGGTGCAGTCCTTTGCTTAGCTTTAATCAGCCTTTGGCTGGGAGCCAATGCAAAAGTTTGACCTTGGTTCAAAAGCTAGGGCAGACCTCGAAGGAGCTAACAGCTGGAGGTTATGAGCTAATCATATTCCTGAGTCTCTTCTTGAAGGGGAATCTGCAGGCCCCGTCATGTCTGCCAGAGCATTCATAAAATATCTGCTTCTTTACTTTGATTTTTGAATCTGTTTGTGAGTTTAACAGTAAATCCAGGAATTGGAAGCTTCAAACGTTGTCCTTGCTGGAGTTGTTTTTCACCTCTCCAAGGGAAAGGTAGACACACGGTAGATACCTGGCAGTGTTACACCACAAGAGAATGAGCCTCAGGGAGAAATGAACTCATTTGTACTAAGTCATTATCTTATTGATTTCAAGTATGTGCCCTAACCTGTTATTTACCTCTTTATGTATTTAATTCTTGATTTCAGTGAGAATGTAGAGTTTGAAATAAAAGGGTTGAATCTTGCTAAGACATCTTACATAGGAGGTATTAATTAATCAAATTGGACATTTAAAAAATTACCATAGAGAATTTGGAAATATTCAGATTAGAAATATATTACTTGTTTGAGGAAGTCCACATGAGAAATGCTAATAATTAGAAACCTAAAATATGTGTTTTCCTGTCTAAGCCATTATAGTTCAGGTAATGTGGTAATGTAAGGCTGGACTGTTTAAATTTACTTTTTTATTCTCTATGACAAATAGACTTACCCACTAAATGAGTAGTTAGTGAATAATATTGCATAAAATCTAACTCTTTTAAAACCTAGAAGCACACAATTTAATTATATCACTTCTATCTACTTCAACATTCATTATACTTGTTAATTAAAGCTTGTCCCCAAAGACCTCTGCCTGCCAACCATGTATTATCCTGGCTGGAAGTGCCCTACATATTTGAAAGTAAAGACATTTAATAAAAGTATAAGACAGTCATTTTACTAATCCAGATTGGACTTCTCCCTCAGGGGAACCACTTGTACTTGAAAGTGAAGAGTTTCATTTAAATGTTACATAAATAAGATATCTTGCTAATCTACATTGGTCTTTGCCGACACTGTGCATTTATTTGTGAATTTGGGACTCAAGTTTAACCTAGCACAAACAAAAGGCAAATTTATTACAGGGATGATAGGAGAAATTGCTATCTAAACCAAATGCTGCCTAAGGAGGGTGGACACTGTAAAATTAATTTCAATTCTATTGAGTCCTTTGATAGATCTGAATATGCGAATCTGGGCTTTGAGTTGATTTTCAAAGCAGTGCTCTGAGGATAGTTTGTAGCTCTCCTGGAAAGGAGAAGTTGAGAAGGGTAAGATGGGACAGAGGAAGAAAGGAATCAGTATGACGGGGAGAACCTGAAATTCTTAATGGGGCAAACAAGGCCATTGGGAAAGAAATCCTGGAATGGGGTGGTCAGAAGTTTAAAACTAAAAACTTATTGTTTCCGTTTCTTTGTTGTAAATCAAATTCTGGCTTCACATCTTCAGTACAATCTGTCATGCACTCAAACACCAAGTTCAGGAGCCAAAATATTTTCCTGTTGTTGTTTTTTTTTAAGGAAGATTAGCCCTGAGCTAACATCTGCGGCCAATCCTCCTCTTTTTGCTGAGGAAGACTGGCCCTGAGCTAACATCCATGCCCATCTTCCTCTACTTTATATGTGGGATGCCTACCACAGCATAGCTTGACAAGTGGTGAATAGGTCTGCACCCGGGATCCGAACCAGAAAACCGCAGGCTGCTCAAGTGGAGCGCAAACTTAACTGCTGCGCCACCAGGCCAGCCCCTTCTTGTTGTTGTTTTGAAGTTTGTTTAATTGTTTTAAAGAATTCCAGAAAGAGATTGAGGCTAAAATCCATGACTGGACTGACACAAATCAAAGAGGAACATCATCAGACAGAAAAAATTGCCAGAATTAATTCAGCAGAAGCCAGAGATGACCATGCGAGTCCAAGCCACTTCCACGTTCCACCTCCTACCCCTCAATCCCTAGTGAGTAACAGAAACCTTGGGAAGATTTTTGAATTGTCCACAAATAGTGGAATTAGGGTTCAATTCCATTAGCTACGTCTTAAGGGGCAGGTGATCCAGTTAAAACCTGAGTTGCATAGGGATACTGGAATCCAAGGAAGGGGATACACCTAGGCCTTACTAATAATGGGACCAAGAATTCAGAGTTTCCTCAATGGCTCATCTCAGTTTCTGTGGGTGCATTAGCTTTTTATAATTTTAATTTTATTGTAGTAATAATGCTTAACATGAGATATACCTTCTTAGTAGATTTTCAATATGCAGCACAGTTTGTTGGCCTATTTTCAAAAGTTAGAACTATTTTCACAAATGAATATCTAGTCTGTTCTTTACAGGCCTCTGTGGGAAAGCAAGTTTTCAATACCAACAGGTACAATATTATACAGCAGATCTTTAGAATGTGCTTATCTTGCACAACTAAAACTTTATACCTGTTGCATTTATTTTTATTCATCTTACCGAAGACTTTCTTTCTCCCCATGGTAGAAAATTTGACTTCAACAGCTACCTGGAAAGAATGATTAAATTTTCTGGGTCCCAAATCTCCAAATCCTGGGGAAAGGTATGATTGTACTTGACTCAGATCATTTCAGATGATGTCCTCTGCACCAGTCAACTGTGGTATTTTATAGTTTGCATTATATACTAGTGAAGGATTTTGTTTTTCAAGCACCAGCATTTGTAGATGTGCTATTTCTATGCTCCTATGGTCATGCATTTATTTTTCTGATCCTTGGATTAGAAGCTTTGTATCTCCCCAAATGTAACAGGTGTTTTAATCCACTGCTTACAGAGTATTATAAACTGCCTTTTTCAATCATAAATCATGTCAACATTGAAAAATAACATCTACTAAGAGAATTTAGGGACATGGCAGCAAATTATTAATAGAACTATTGAGACAAGGAGAAGGATGCACTTATTATAGTCAGGAGTAGATGATAGATGGTAGAGCAAATTTTTTTTGTGAAGAATTTATGTTACACTCCCCACAGACCATCTGGAAAGTCTTCTCTGGGTGTTTATCTGTGTATTTTGAGTTTAATAACAATTCCATACATCTCTTAATTAATCACATCTATCAAATGATGTTGATGATAGACACCTAAACATTATCTCCTCAAGGACAGTCTGGCTTTAGTGACTAAGAACTTCATTCACTCAGAGAAAGAAACTTGAGAATGTGATATATATTGATTTTTAACTGTTCTTTCTTAAATCTCACAGAATATAGACTATTTAGGGTATGTTTAAATATACGTTTATATGTGTAGGTGTGAAAATGTCTACATACATAAATGTCTTTAATAGGTGATATTTCTGATGTTCACCACCAACATTGTGCTCATATGTTATGTAAACATAACGATGTGAGACTGGCTATTCTTTCTAAGCTGTGTTTCTCTAGGGGAGGGACAGGTAGGGAAAATAGCTCCCTTTTATTTGCGTTGTTCTTGCAATTCTTTCATTATCCCTGCAGTTTTGTTATAATATACTGAAGTAATGAATTAACCCTAGAATCTCAGGGGCTTAACTCAACAGTATTTTTCCCTTGCTCATGAAGCATATCCAGTACAATTTAGCCTCTGGGGTTGGGTAAGGCCTTGGATTCACAGCCACTCAGGGACTCAGGCTGACAGAGGCCCTACTACTTTATATCTGAACCATCTGCAACAGATGACTTTCCCCATCCATGGAACAGGCAAAGAAGACTCTAGAGGGCCTTTCCCTGGTAATTAAATGCTTTGCTCTGGAAAAGACATGTAATCCCATTGGCCAGACCTAGTCACATGGTCCCACCTAACCACAAAAGGACTGACAATTATAACAGGGCACATGAAATATTGTGAGTTGTTTTTACCACGCTATCTTCTAGACCTATATTTTTTAGGCAAGAGAAATTTTTATGAAAACAAGTGAAAAATTTTAAATACCAAACTCCTTGTTCTTTTCTCTTTATTCCAGGGGCACAGCACCTGTAAAAGATGATGATCTATTCAGAGACCTAATTCACTTTCCTCCTGATTTTCATGCTCAGGACAGCGCTCTTCCTCCATCTGACAGTGATCCAGCTCATGAGTTGCATGTGGATTACTCAGTGCACCAGAGAAGTGCTGAGAGCTCTAAGGTGACTCTGCCTAGAGAAAGTAAACACACATAATGCCCGACAAAACCTAACGAAACCATGGTTTACATGATGTAAGTTTAATTTCTGGTTAAGAACTTAATGTTTAGGGTAAAAAAACAAACCTTAGTTTCTGCACTTCTTTGACTCATTCTTTACCTTCTCTTTCCTCCTCTATCCTTAATCTCCTACTAACGAGGAAGAGATTGAGTGAACAGAACCAATCCCCATCTCTGGCTATTTACTGCAAACCATTCCCTCTTTATTTAGCCTCTCCCCACATGACCCATATTAAAGCTGTTGTTGATAAAAACCAAATGAGATGTTGGTGAAATGCAACAGTAATCAGAGATAACCGGTGATATTCCCATTGCAGAAAACATTAGGCCTTCTTTGGAAAATGATTAATTAATATAACACCTTAAAGATTATTCTTTTCATTTAATAACAACTTAAAGAGTAATCTAAAAGGAATGTGCTGATTTTAGCAGGTACAAGATGTCTAGCTATTTAGTAAAATATCACAAACTGGTCCTCAATTAGATTCAGTAGCAATTCAAATTGTGTCCAGGGAGAGACATATTCTCCACTGGTGAAGCCTATAGTAAGTCTTGTTCATAAGATCAAAGTCATTTTTGCTTCAGTTAAATACAAAGACATACTTGCACAACAATTTGGGAAGACTTGTGGAATACAGATCTGGATGAATTTCTTGTGATACCTATTTTTGCAATTTTTTTTAAACATTGAAATCACTGTTGTGGATTCTTAGAGATGAACCATCTGTTACGAACCAGAATCAACATTTATTATAACTTATTAAGAGAGGAAAAGTTGATAGCAAAAACCGTTCAAAGTGTAAAATCGAGTATGGGAAACTGTCTTCCCGCAGAGGTCTTTAAAAAACAGATTCGATGTTCATCTGTGAAAATAGTTCTGACTTTGCAAATAGGTAATTATCTCATATGGTAGAATCACTAAAAAGGTAAGAAATGCATGGGGAAGGAAGGAAGGAAGGCAGAGGAGCAAGAGCACGTGTGTGTGTGTGTGTGTGTGTGTGTGAGAGAGAGAGAGAGGGGAGGAGGATGGCTTCGTTTCCCAGGAGAATGTGTGCAGCACCAGCAGGACACAGGCTCTTGATGGCAGCAGAGCACGGGATTGAAACCACTGAGATGGCAGAGAGCTTTGTAGTGTCTGACGTAATTACTCTGAAACTTCTCAATCTTCAGTGAAATTACCAGGTGAGTTCTTATGATCAGCTCTTTATGGAAACCAGCAAAAGGGCTAACATCAGGCTGGTTAGGAGCTAAACCAAGATCTCACTCTAGACCCAAGAGCAGAGACAGACAACCTGGAACGAAATTTGGAGATTTGTGGAACTTGTGGGGAGAGCTCTAGATTTGATCAGATAATAAAGACTTAGTCCAAATGGTAGCTATGCCTCAGCGGACATCTGGGTTATACAGGCATGTATGAAATACCATATCATGCTTTATTGCTTGAGGTAAACCCAGGGCAAGGAAAAACTTATGTGACGTATCCTTAGGAATTAGAGGAGGATTCCTACATCTTTCAAGATTAGACAAGGGCCTCTGAATAGTGGTGGTCAAAAAAGTAGGAGTTTGGACCTGCCACTGAGATGTAAAAAAACACAAATTAATAAAATCTTCCCTACCTTTTTCTCAAATTCCTCTACTCCTGCAATTCTCGACTTACAGGTTTTCTTTTTTTTTTTTTTTTAAAGTTTCAGTGCGTGGTTGTGTGTCCTACTTGTTAGTTTAGCTTTCTGTGTGAGCTGCCGCCACAGTATGACAACTGATAGACGAGTGGTGTGGTTCCACGACAGAGAAATGAACCTGGGCTGCCGTAAGAGCGCTGACTCTAAAGAGCTAGACCACCAGGGCTGGCTCTAGATTTTCCTTTTCGAAATATATCTCCTTCTTTTAAACGTTTTCTGTTGATTCACTCAAATCACAAGTTAACAATATTGAATGATCCTCCCCAAGTTCTACATTCATAGGGAATGCGCCCTGATTTCTGTGTTTTTTAGTTGAATACACATGATTAAAGTTTTCTGAAATTTGTATGTATCATAAATACATCAGTTAAAAATTAATGCCACTTTACATAAAATCCAATCTCATTTTAGTTTTCTTTTCTTTTAATCCAAGGAAACTCTTGAATACTTGGGAAATTTGAAAAGAATTGTAGGAAATTTAATGACTGGTAGACTATGATATCTTCTTTCTCTACAAAGAATTGCAGTCATTCCTAATAAGTATTATCTTAAATGTTGTCTTGCTCTGTTTGTTATCCTGAAGTATATGAAACCTACTTAGAGCATCACAATGCTTACCTGGTGATTCTAAGTTAGTGACAATCAACCATTTATTTTCAAACTGTCTTCTTTTGATGAACATGCAAATCTCATTTTCCTCTAAGTGACCCCCCATTTTTTTTTTTAGTGAGGAAGATTGGCCCTAACATCTATTTTGTATGTGAGATGCCACCACAGCATGGCTTGATGAGTAGTATGTAGGTCTGTGCCCAGGATTCGAACCTGTGATCCCTGGGCTGCCAGAGTGGAGTGTGCAAACTTAACCACTACGCCACCAGGAGGGCCGCCTCTAGGCCCAATTTTGAATACATTCCTCTCAGTGATATCTCCAATACTCTCCTCTCTCAAGAATCTCTAAAAAGTAAAAAGTAGTCTACCATTGGTATCTACTACCATGTAATAAAAAGTCTTTGAACTTTACTTCCTGTAATTGGCATTATATGTTCAAAAATATTGTTTGATTTTCCAAGTATATACCTAAATGCTGGTGAGGAAGAATTGGGGATCTCCTTGACGTTGGTTTTGGCAATGATTTTATTGATATGACACCCAAAGCATAAACAACAAAAGCAAAAGTAAACCAATGGGACTCACTACATCAAATTAAAAAGCTTCTGCATGGCAAGAGAAATAATAAACAAAATAAAAAACCAATGTATAGAATAGGAGAAAATATTTGCAAATCATATATCTGATTAGGAGTTAATATCCAAAATACATAAAGAACTCATACAACTCAATAGCAAAAAACCAAATAGTCCAATTGAAAAATGAATAAAAGATCTGAATAGACAATTTTCCAAAGAAGATATTCAAATGACCAATAGGTACATGAAAAGGTGCTCAACATTATAAGGGACAAGGAAAGGCGAATCAAAACTACAATGAGATTTCACCTCACACCCATTAAAATATCTATCATCAAAAAGACAAGAGATAAGTGCTGGCGAGAATGTGGAGAAAAGGGAATACTTGTGCCCTGTTGGTGGGAAAGTAAATTGGTGGAGCCATTATGGAAAACAGTATGGAGGTTCCTCAAGAAGTTAGAAATAAAACTACCATATGATCCAGCCATTCCACTTCTGGATATACATATGAAAGAAATGAAATCACCATCTTGAAGAAGTATCTGCACCCTCATGTTTATTGTAGCATTATTTACAATAGCCAAGACATGAAACAACCTAAGCATCCATCGAGGAGTGAATGGATAAAGAAAATGTGGTATATATATATATACATATATGTATATGCAATGGAATACTATTCAGCCACAAAAAGAAGTAAATTCTGCCATTTGTGATGACATGGATGGTCCCAGAGGACATTATGCTATGTGAAATGTCAGAAGAAAACAAATACTGCATGATTTCACTTATATGTGAAATCTAAAACAGTCAGATTCATAGAGGCAGAGAGCAGACTGGTGGTTGCCAGGGGTGGGAGGTAGCGGGGTGGGTGAAATGTGTGAAGGTGATCCTAAAGTACAAACTTCAGCTACAAGATAAATAGTTTCTGGGGATGTAATCTATAGCATGATGACTATGATTAAGTATACTGTCTAATATAGTTGAAGTTGGTAAGAGAGTAGATTTTTAAAATTCTTACCACAGGAAAAAATAAAACCCAAAACAAATTGAAACTGTGAAATGATGGATGTGTTAATTAACCTTATTGGGGTAGTCATTTTGCAATATATACATGTAACAATACCTTACGTTGTACACCTTAAACTTACACACAATGTTACACATCAGTTATATCTCAATAAAGCTGAAAAAATGTCATTATAGTTAATCTTCAATCTTCTTCATATGGTAAGATATTGATATGAATATGCAAGTCATCCAATAAACACCAACTGAAAACTCTGTTCTTTGGGATAACAAGGGAATAGATAGATATATATTTCATCTACCTCAACCTTCCAGGTTTTATTCGAAGGCTTATTGTCTCTTCTAACCAAAAATATGCAAAATGAATACTTGGGATAATTCAGTGAAGCTATATAAAAACCTTTGCTATCTTGGTTGTTCAACTCATTAGGCCCATAAAATACACAATAAAGTGATATTCTGAGACCATATATAGAAGTTGAGGTCTCTAATTATAGAAAAAATGAGCGCTTATATAAATTCATCTGAAATATCAATTGTTGAGATGCCTATCATTAAATGGCTTATTTAATAATGTTATAGATGCCTTAGAATAATGCTGAGCCACACAGAAGTGGCTATTTATGAGGTCTATTTCTATTTTGTGTGTATTCTTTAAATATGATCAAAAAGAAGGCTGCTTCTGATGAATATATTATCAAGTTGTTATGTCAGATAAATTATATTTGGGAAGAAACCTGGATCACTGTTCGTACTTGGTATGCCTCCGAAACCTCCGAACATAATTGTTGTTTCATTGTATCTGGAGTAAGTTTAACTCTTAATGCTTTTCAGTGAAGAGGATACACAGTAAAGTCTTGATTACAGAACACACTGGGCCAAAGGGGTTTATTTAAAATGAGGGCATAGATTTCTCTTTAAATATAATTATTGAGTGTATAGTGTAAAATAAGGCAAGGTGTAAATAATATATAAGATACTTTTTGCGTATCAGAAAGGAGGGCAGTATTAAATATTATTTGCAAGTTGTCTTTCTACTTGAATTATTC